GTGATGTTTCAAAATAAAAAAAATAGTTTTAGATTTTTTGATGTTTCATGCAGATTGAGCAAGCCGTTTCCGAGAACTCGCGTGCACAAAATCGGTAAGAAAAAAAGAAATAATAAAAACAGTGGAAAAGAAACCTGTGAGTAACAAGAAGGTCTTCCGTTGAAGACGGAAGAACTTAATTAATAAAAATAGTGGAAAAGAAACCTAAGAATAAAAAGGTCTTAAGCTGAAGACGGGAAACCTTAATGATTGTGAGATTCTTAATTTCCTATGTTTAAAATTTCAAGAGCATCTGTTTTATTCTTTTTATTTTATGACATAATGAATGACCCCTCTTAAAGAACATCGGTTATTCATAACGTCAAAAACACAATATCACGACGTGTATCTACCCATCATTTGAAAACTCGTTTTAAAAATCAGTTATTTAAAAACGTAAATTAGATTTTTTAACCTGACAGTTCCTAAATCTGTTAATTTTTATAAATTATGTAAAAATGGTTGCTTTAAAAGAGTAAATACGCTTTATTTTACTATGCTGCGCGAAGTATTGTGCAATGAAAACCGTCGGCCCTCTTAAAACTCCATGCAGTCACATTTCAAAAAACATCGACGGCCGACGGCTTCTTTATATAGTCAAAATAAGATTCTTCAGGCGACAATTGGCAGTTCATCGGCCGTTGTCTTGCCCTATTTTGACCTCTTCTTTTCGTCGGCCGATCAATTTTGTGTCAGTCGGGCCAAGTTATAATTTTTTTTCTCCATCTATGGACGATTCCTTCAATTGAAACAGTCGTTAAATAGTCCATCGACCAACCTTCGATCATCGTCCAAAAATCGGCAGACTGTTTTTAAAGTCGGTCGTCGGTCGGTCGATATTTAGGAACTGGGTTTTTGTGAACGATGGACGACATTGAAAAACAAACTGCAGTCCAGCGAACGATGATCGGGCGACGGTTAACCGACTTATACATATTTTTACTTTTAAAAGCATCGGTGTTTGTAGGAATTAATGTGTCTACTCTGCATCGCACGATTCTAGTGTCGACCTATCTTGTTTTTTTTTTTCAGCGAGAAAGAGAAAGGTTTGGTCGCCCGACCCTGAGCTTAAATGTGACCTAGGCATAAGTTTGGCAACCAATGGTTCTTAAGTAGAAAAAACATAGGTAATCAGAGATTACAGAGCTCACCTCAACAAATGTTCTCTTTAAGTAAGGCAAAGTCCCACACTAAACTAATAATCTAGGAGTGTGCATCCCTAGATGCAACATTTATGCAATTTTGGTCTGATAGGGCTTGCAGTTACTTGGGAATAGACTTATCTGAAAACTTAAAACTAGTCACTCATCCAGAAAATGTAAGTCAAATCCAGCATCCGAAGCAAGTTTTGAGATTGTTTGTCCCTTGATGCATCATCCATGCAAGTTTGGTTCAGATAGGCCTTATAGTTACTTAGAAATGAGATCTGCTCCAAAAACTTTAACCTGGTCACTCATCCGGAAAATGTAAGTCAAATCCAGCATCCGAAGCAAGTCCAGTAGTGAGCATCCTTAGATGTATCATCCATGCAAGTTAAGTCAATATAGGGTTTATAGTTACTTGGAAATGACATCTGCTCCAAAAACTTTAACCTGGTCACTCATCCGGAAAATGCAAGTCAAATCCAGCATCCGAAGCAAGTCTAGTAGTGTGCATCCTTAGATGTATCATCCATGCAAGTTTAGTCAATATAGGGCTTATAGTTACTTGGAAATGACATCTGCTCCAAAAACTTTAACCTGGTCACTCATCCCAAAAATTGAGGTCAGATCCAGCATCCGAAGCAAGTCCAGTTGTGTGCATCCTTAGATGTATCATCCATGCAAGTTTAGTCAATACAGGGCTTATAGTTACTTGGAAATGAGATCTGCTCCAAAAACTTTAACCTGATTACTCATCCGGAAAATATAGGTCAGATCCAGCATCCGATGCACGTCAAGTAGTGTACATCCTTAGATGTATCATCCACGCAAGTTTGGTCAATATAGGGTTTATGGATACTTGGAAATGACATCTGCTCCAAAAACTTTAACCTGGTCACTATCCTTAAAATATAGGTCAGATCCAGCATCCGAAGCAAGTCCAGTAGTGTGCATCCTTAGATGTATCAACCATGCAAGTTTGGTCAATATAGGGCTTATAGTTACTTAGAAATGAGATCTGCTCCAAAAACCTTAACCTGGTCACTCATCCGGAAAATATAGGTCAGATCCAGCATCCGATGCACGTCAAGTAGTGTACATCCTTAGATGTATCATCCACGCAAGTTTGGTCAATATAGGGTTTATGGATACTTGGAAATGACATCTGCTCCAAAAACTTTAACCTGGTCACTATCCTTAAAATATAGGTCAGATTCAGCATCCGAAGCAAGTCCAGTAGTGTGCATCCTTAGATGTATCATCCATGCAAGTTTGGTCAATATAGGGCTTATAGTTACTTAGAAATGAGATCTGCTCCAAAAACCTTAACCTGGTCACTCATCCAGAAAATATAGGTCAGATCCAGCATCCGAAGCAAGTCCAGTAGTGTGAATCCTTAGATGTATCATCCACGCAAGTTTGATCAATATAGGGCTTATAGTTACTTGGAAATGAGATCTACTCCAAAAACTTTAACCTAGTCACTCATCTGGAAAATGTAGGTCAGATCCAGCATCTGAAGCAAGTTCAGTAGTGTGCATCCTTAGATGTATCATCCATTCAAGTTTAGTCAATATAGGGCTTATAGTTACTTGGAAATGACATCTGCTCCAAAAACTTTAACCTGGTCACTCATCCCAAAAATTGAGGTCAGATCCAGCATCCGAAGCAAGTCCAGTTGTGTGCATCCTTAGATGTATCATCCATGCAAGTTTAGTCAATACAGGGCTTATAGTTACTTGGAAATGAGATCTGCTCCAAAAACTTTAACCTGATTACTCATCCGGAAAATATAGGTCAGATCCAGCATCCGATGCACGTCCAGTAGTGTACATCCTTAGATGTATCATCCACGCAAGTTTGGTCAATATAGGGTTTATGGATACTTGGAAATGACATCTGCTCCAAAAACTTTAACCTGGTCACTATCCTTAAAATATAGGTCAGATTCAGCATCCGAAGCAAGTCCAGTAGTGTGCATCCTTAGATGTATCATCCATGCAAGTTTGGTCAATATAGGGCTTATAGTTACTTAGAAATGAGATCTGCTCCAAAAACCTTAACCTGGTCACTCATCCAGAAAATATAGGTCAGATCCAGCATCCGAAGCAAGTCCAGTAGTGTGAATCCTTAGATGTATCATCCACGCAAGTTTGATCAATATAGGGCTTATAGTTACTTGGAAATGAGATCTACTCCAAAAACTTTAACCTAGTCACTCATCTGGAAAATGTAGGTCAGATCCAGCATCTGAAGCAAGTTCAGTAGTGTGCATCCTTAGATGTATCATCCATGCAAGTTTGGTCAATATAGGGCTTATAGTTACTTGGAAATGAGACCTGCTCGAAAAACTTTAACCTGCTCCAAAAACTTTAACCCGCTCCAAAAACATTAACCTGGTCATTCTTTAGCTGAAATTGTAGCATCTGAAACCTTGACTGGTACAATAAAACACTCTAGAAGCATCCTCCATGCATCTCTGACTAATATAGGCCATAGAAGTACTTGAAAAGAAAACTGCTCCAAAAACCTTAACCTGGGACGCCGACGCCGAAGGTATTACATAAGCTCCATCAACTTCGTTGAGGTGAGCTAAAAATGTTAAGCAAGCACTGAATCTCTGAGTATTTCTTCTTGTTTAAAGGTCACATTCGCTTCAGTTCTTTTGGTCCCAAAAATAAGAACTCCCTATCTGGAAGATTTATCTGCACAATTAGGGCACCCTATATACAGTATTTTGCAAAAAAATTGACAAATTTGAACAGCTAGTATTTTTCTCACAAATAATCGAAAAACAAAATCCAAGAACTATGCACATATTTGATATATGCATGATTGATCTGCAAAGTAAGAAATCTCATCTTGAAAACTGTACAAAGAGTTATCTGGACAATTAAGGTACACTTTATACAATGTTTGGCAAGAAAATGTCTAAGTCTAATAATATTCAGATCTGTGATATTTGTACAATTGATCTGTCAAAAAAAGTTCCCTTCTTGAAAACTGTAAAAGCTATCTGGACAAATGATGTAACCTATATGCAATACTTTGCAAAAAATGACAAAGTTCAATAAGTGGGTTTTTTACCCATGAAAACCCAGTTTAAAATGTTTGTTTTATACAAATGTTGTCAACATAGAATGCAGACTACAGAAATAATTCTGAAAATTGCTTTATTAATTAAGAACATGTTTAACATCTCTGATTATACCATTACGAGCATCATAAACTTATCAACAGATTCATTTATAATAAAACATAAAATAATCTCTGAACATTGAAAGACAGCGGTACAAATGTAATTTGCTACAAACATACACATCTATACACAAGAAACCAAATCCAGAACTGAGAAATCCCACAATGTGATTCATAATGTTAATAAATTGTGTCAAAAGTAGCCATCTTGACAAAACATCCTGTCCATAGATGCAATCTGCTTAAGATTGTGAATTTACGTGAATCAACAATATATATGTCAAAATTTTGAAGCAATTTAATAATTTGCCCTCAGGTTTAATCCTGACCAAAAGATCTTGCCAAATTCTAAATGTTGTTTGTACTAAAATACAGCACTTGAAGCAAGCATCTTCATCATGTTTGCAACAACTCCTTATTCACATTTCGGTTTTGTTCAATACTCATTCCAAATCATGCTAATACTAGCTTTAACATGATTCACAAAGACACATGATTAACATGCAAAAATATGACGTTATTCATAGATTTTCATTGAGAAGATATACATTTAAAAATGGCAAAATAAAGTTCTTATGATGATTTTCAAAGGTGATAACATAAACTCTCATAAATGCATTCAACAATCAACAAATTCAATTGTTTACAATGTAAATATTAAGGTATCTATATTTTGGTTTTTGATGAATGTCAAACAAAAATGTATTGCATAATTATGTAAAACATAACAGTTAAAGGGAAATAATTTATATGCAAAACTACATATTTATGTGTAAATATTACACATCTACATTTACATTTTTAATATTAAATTCACATTGCTCATCAAAACATTGAGTACTAATATTTCTGTTTGGCAACCTTAACATTACTTTTTTAAAGTAAAATTATTATAGAAATGAATATCTGAAGATTTGTTTTCGTTTTCTTTGAAATATGAAAAACAAATATGAAAATATCTAAAATTCTTAGTTACCTACCTAATCATAGATTTAAAATACAGAGTTTTTTTCAATATGAAAAAATAATAATAAAAACTTTTGAAAAAGAGAAGTCAAGCAATCATAATTTTCACATCATTCAGTTCAAAATTTAGAGATGCCACCACTAAGGAATTGTACAGTCTCAAATTTTTCAGAATATTTTACATTTATAAAAAAAAAAATTGTAAAATACATTTGACGAAAAAAGACTTAACATAGTATTTAGAAAAAAAAATGTATTATCATATATTTGTCAGGCATAGACTGTAACAGTCTTAGTAATACAAATAACCCACCCTCAAAGTATATTGATACAGTCACTGAAAGACAACTGGAATAAATAATTCCAGACTTTTTTCCCTTTTCCATCAAGATAATAAAATTACATATTTTTAGTTCTCTCTGAAATACTGCAGCTTGGGTTTTTTGTGGAACAGGTACACAAGTTTATAACAATTATCTTAAAATTATGTACATAAACAACATTGACTTAAATTCAATAATATTGGGTTATTAGTGGGAATATTTTGTCATTAACCAACATAAAAGGTTAACAAACTCTGCATATTACCACAAAAGAAAGCTATTTATAAGCCTTACAGGTTATTTCTTTTGACATTCAATGCAACATATTTAAAAGTACCAAGATACCCTCTCATTAAATAAATAAGTTTTGGCAATAAACAAGATGCACCAGTGAACAAAAAAGTTGAATGATTTTAAACCTTACTATAAAAGGTTTTAGTCACTCAAATTTCAACCAGATATTGGTCTAACCATAGCAATTCACAAACAGGAACAGGTTTTGCCCTTCCTTTCTACTGATACTTGTCATCCTGGCCCTAGCTGTGTGTTCCACCCTTGCCCTCTGCTTGGACTGACCGATTCCCTACACATCCGACTTGACTCTGCGTTTATTTGTGGGGGTCCTGCTGCCCACAGGAGGGTCCACCATCAGAAAGCTTTCCTCCACGCTCTTCTTACAGTACATATAGAACAGACCAGCGGACTTCAACAGGATCTCATCAAGGTTTATCTTCAAACTGTCACAAAATATTTAATTAATTTAGTCTTAAGATATCTAGGTGTGATATACCTCTTTTATTTTTGAAAATTTTGACAAATTCATACACTTAATTAACAATTATTAAGTCTTCCAAGAAAATCTAAAACAGTATTTTTCCTCTAATTAAGACAAGCATACATGTTTGTGTAACTAAAAAGCCCTATAAGAGTGTGACAAACATTTCAAATAACTTTTCTCATTATGAGTTTTTTTGTTGTTGTTGTTTTAAGCATATAAGCATAATTAAGTAGGTTCACATTCAGAACCAGCCTCCCATCCCCATTTCTTTGACAAAATAACCCCCCCCCCCCAATTTCTAAATGTACTCGCATTTGTGTATTCAGAACAAGATTCTAATTGCAACCCCCTATTTACTTTTTCTGTTTCTGTAAAGTAATTATTTCTGAACCTATCTGTTCTTGTCCTTTATATATACAAGGTGTCCATTCAGAACACTTCTGCCCTTTACCTATTAATGACAGAGTACACAGCTGCTGTGTCTGTACATTCCATCAGCTGGGGCCTACATTCCTGTAGTAAGGCGACACACATGAAGAGGTCAAAGGTGTACTGGCACTCAACGTCAGAGGGAAGAGAAGATCTGGACACACCACCTTAAATATGAAAATCCTCAATTGGATGATTTAAGAGTGTAAATCCATCGAGACATAACTATTCTCAATTGCAAGACAAAAAATGATACTTAAAGGTCCAAAGGGATATATGGTTGATTTTAGAGCAAACAGTCTATTTTTAGATTGAAACTTAAAACCAAAATCTAAGATTATAACCCTTCATTACAATGAACCTTTAACCTTGATGTCTAACCTTGACTCTCAAACTCTCGCTTGAGTTCCTGTCTCCGAGTTTTCTCTGCCTCCATTGATGTGAGCTCGAGATGGTGACTGCTCAATATCTCAAAACATCTAAGAGACTCCATGAAGCTGAACTCTCGCTTAAAACCCAGCAACAGCCATCTGCCATATATAAATATAAAAATAATGAATTATCACAAGTAGACATGTTCTAATACTTGTTTAATGCTGCCGAGATATGGAGATTGAGTTATAGTGCACATCTTTATTTGTTGTACATACATATAAATTTCTATGCACATTAACTGATTACTTGGGTGTATGTTTTCTTGTATTTGAAGCATGTTTAAGTTTAAACAATGAGTGTTTCTCTAAAATTAGAACTGACTTAAGGTGTATTTTCCTTACTTTAGGTTTTTCTGTCATGTAGTGTTAATCACTTTTTCTTTGCAACAATTTTATTTTTTCATAATTGCATCGAGTCTCTCTGCTCACAAAAATGTCAAATTCATATATTTTTTAATGAGGTAATACACATATGTAAAAATGTAAAAATAAGACCAAAATTTATTAAAAATTTGACAATGTTTAGATCTTAATAAATCAAAGGCCTGAAGGGCCTGCGAGTCGACTCGCTCGAGTTTAATGAGCTTTTTCATACAACTGGACATCATACCTTATATTCAGTTTATATTGCATCAAAGAGATTGAATATGTACGTTCAATTAAAAAATTAAGGGCTTCAATGCCACCTCACATGGGATTTCTGTAATTTATTTAAAGTCTGGGTTTGTAAATACATAAATAAGTTTACACAATGTGACAAAAATTTTGAATAGGAATCTGAATACATCTGCTTAAATTTGAAAGGGTCTCAATATATCCCACACCTCCAAAAGTAAATAAAGGTTAAGGGTTTATCTCCCACCTTTCTAAGTCAACTGAATTATTAAAAAGACTTCACTTCAGAATTTTTTAATCATAATTATCCTAACTCTAAAAAGATCTCAGTGTTCCATTAAGAAACAAAAAACTACAATAAAGTGAAAAAAGGGGGAGGGAAAATCATTTTAAACCAAAAAGGAGAAAAAATAACAGTGAAAACAATTTTAGCATATAAACATAAGCTCAACAATCTCTAAGAAACAACCAACAGAAATGGAAAAAAAAAAAAAAAAAATAGACATCTATGGGTAATTTTTTTTTAGATCCGCCTAACTATATCAGTTTTACTGTAATAAGCATTATGATTATGTTTATGTTAAGTAACTAATAATCTAATATTTGAAAAAGATGCATATATTTATAAACCAAGACCAAAGTACCTGTAAATAACATCACCATGATTATCTTAGAAAATTTTACATTGTTGGCCTATTTATCGACATTATTGTGTAAAGCAGCACTGCATGCCTGGATTCTAAAAATAAATTTAAGCACACTAGCTGCAGTTGTCAGTGTTATGGAGTAATTAGGTCAATGGTTCACACTGCAAACCTGGATTCTAAAAATAGATTTTTCAAGCACACTAGCTGCAGTAAATGAGTAAATAATCTAGGTCAATGATAAATAAACTTCAGATGGGAAGATTAGATCCGCCTAACTAATTGCACATATATTCATACACAGTAATTGTAAATTGTTCAGATATTTAATTGACTTTTTCTTGAAAAAAACACAAAAGACATAAATAATGTAACAATATGAAATTTTACACTATTTATACCTCTTAAGTTTATGCAGTCACTCAAACAAAAGCATTTTTTGCTAGAACTATCGTATTTGGCGTATGAATCACCTTGATGAATGAGTGATAATTTTAACAGTTGTGGCAATTTTTACAGCTGTGTTAACAAGGAGTAGCTCGCTCCGCGAGCCGACTCAAAAAAAAAATGCCAAAGAAACCACTGTGCCAAATAATGAAAAAAACAAGTTTATGGATGGTTATCATAGTTATTTGTAATTTATCAATGATTTAACTATGCAAAAGTTATACATATGTAATATGTATTCAAATACAAGAGATTTCATGTAGTTTCCTGTACCTTGTGTGTGAATACCTTCCACTTGTGTGCTTTTTTATCTGTAACTTGTGAGTGTGTGTTACAGTGGCTGCAAGGTTATTGTTGACAAACCAATCTTGTAGAATCGTTCATGTAACGTGCATGATCATTCATGTAATGTGCGAGATCGTGCGTGTATCAGACTCAATCTTTTGCGGTTTTAATCGTGCATGATCATGCGTTAAGAAACGTGTAAATTTCGTTTTGTAAGTTTTTATCGGAATGTTATTTATTATACAACCATTTCGCTTGTCTGTTGTTTTTTTTCAATCCAAAAAAATAAATGAAGCGCAATTTACATAACTGAAAGCAGAACAAACTAATTATCGCTTGGAAATAAGCAATTCAATAAGTCATACAATATTATGTTCTCGTCAAATAGCGTCATTTTTTGTGATAAACAGTACTTTGATGTTTAAGGATTTTTTCTCTGATGTTAATTATGTTTACTGCTAATTATGGTCAAGATATTTCTAAAATCAATAGATCAAAAATAGATATTTTTACAAATAAATAAATAAACAATTCTCAATGCTTACATAAATATTTAGTTGGCGAATGTACACATACACGACATTATTGTCGGGGTTTCGTTTATCAGTGTTTATCTCTGAAGCTTACTTTTAATTATTTTTATAATTTCTGCAAATAAATGTTTTGTAAAATAATTGTTGATTTTAGAGATTCACAAATGGAAACATGGATATAACTTATAATTTAATTCATTTTCATGCCATTTTTTCCCCAAACTTATCACTTTCTGCATATTATGAAATCCAATTCAATCAAAACTCACTGTCCACCTACATGTACATCTTCTGATAGAACGAAAAAAATCGGTTTTCTTAAGTCGGAGAATTATGTAAATAATTATTTGTAATCTAAAATAATTAGTAAGTTTTACATGTATTTAGTTCCTGAAATATTTATTTATATTTTTTTTTCAGTTTTCAAAGTCGATGAAATAATATCAATAATTATTTGAAATCTAAAATAAGTGTTAAGCCTTACGTCGTTTTGAAAATATCCATTCCTAAAGAATTTGAACTATTTTGCGTGAAGAATCATGCATTTGCGTTAGCAATCGTGTAAGATCATGTAATATGTAGAATCGTGTGCATGAAGGATCGTTCGTGTAACAGATTTTATCGTGCGTTAATCGTGAGGAATCGTTCGTATAACGTGATCGTTCGTGTAGGTTGTCAACAATAACGTTGCAGCCACTGTAACCTGCCCTTTAGGTGTGTATTTCAGAGAAACTGTCCTGTGCTAAGTGTGCCAGGCCTTTCAACTACTGATACCCTGTACTTTTACCCAGCTAAAATCATGAATGTACCTCCAAAAATAATTGTTGAAGGAGAATCTGATGACATTTTTAATTAAAATCGCTACAACAAGGTACCTCCTATTTTTTGTAAACGTACAGCCTCTTTTTTATCTTTTCGAAAGCCTCGGTGTGCTATACTGTAATTTAAAGGGTTTTTATCACGTCTCAAAATTTTTTGATATGACAAAGTTTACATGCTATTAAAATCATATATTTCAAAATCTTTGTTTGAAAACTAATATTTTTGATGTTTCAGCGATTCAAAGTTTGAATTTCTCAATATGCACATTTTGATCGCCGATGTTACGCGCCATTGCTCTGATGTCATAGGTGTCAATCCTGGTCAAGTGAAGTACTTATTGTGTATACAAAACGGCTCATTTGTTGTGTCTATTAAACCTGTTAGAAAAAATAATTAAGTGATAATTGAATAATTGACAGCTTGTAAGGTATAATTTATGGCTTAGTGGTGCACAAAAATGAAAGGTTTTAGAAAGAATTTTTCCCCACATTTCCTGGACTTGGTTGAGAGCCTGAAAGGGGAGCCTTTCTCTGCAAATGCGATGGCGTTTACATGGTTTATCTCCATTCAGAACAATCATTTTTGCCCGATCGATCACGATTTTTTTTCTGTTCTATAAAATACATTAAGGACAGATACTTTAAAAAAAATTTAGAAATGTCAAACATGCATTTTTAAAAAGTCGCACAGAATATAGTTACTGTAAGAATGTTGTGAACTTCTTAATGGCGTACGGCGCCATTGAAGAAGTGTCATTTCTAGTACATGATATTCACTGCTAGAACAGATAGAAGATATACATTATTTATAATTAATTAAAATAATAATGAAGGAGAATTTAAAATTCTCATATTTATAAATGTTTATGAAGTTAAACTTTAGTAATTCGTGCTATTTAGTTGAAGTCCCGAGTTGTCAAAGGCTTCGTCTTCGGTGACCTCTCTCCAATTGTTGGCATATTTTCGGGTTATTTCTCTCTGCTATACGTTCATACCTAAAAGATTGACCGTCCATAACCAAAGGAATATAGTTGATGTCAAAATTTCAACCGGCCATACTGTGTATTCTTTTAATTTAGTGTAAAAATCTATTCAATATATTTTTTCTTACGATAAGCTTTATAAGTTCTTTTGACCATTGACACCTATGACATTTCAGTACCACGTGACCCCTATCTAATTAGTGGAGATTTTCACTTCGAGGGCCCTATATTATGGGCGTTTTATCGTCTAATTACGGCCGTTTTCAACATTATTTCATAATTAAACGATAATTATATGTTTCAAGAATATAATTATAGTGTTTTATTTTTAAGAAATTTAGATATGTGATAAAAACCCTTTAAGTATGTGCTTTTCAGTACCTAATGTGTATATTTCAATTTAATTTAAGCACATACAGTCAAACTTCACTATCTCAAAGTCAAAGGGACTAAGAAAAAAATTCAAAATATCCAAGGATTCAAGATATCCCAGGTAAAATACTTAATGAATAAGTGGTTGGGACTTCCAAATCACTTAGACATATCCATGGTATTCGAGATATCAATGTTTGAGATACAAAAGTTCAACTGTATTTATATGTGTTCTGCCGTGTCTAATCAGAGCTCCAGATAAGGTGCGTATTTGCAGAAATATGCATTGAATTTTTCAAAATACGCATTAAAATTAAAACAGGGCATACAATTACGCATTAGGAATCATAAATATGCATTACGCTACGAAAGTACTGCGTACGACGGATTGGATGTTAACTAATTATGTGAATTGAAGTCAGCTCAGTGTTTGAATTTTTATCAAAAGGAAATTTTGATTAAGCGTATTGGGAATAACCTAGGCCGATATAGAGTTCGAGAGAAAGATTTGAATATTAAATACTTGTACTTTGTCTAAAAAATCACAGATTTCCACTGTTCATATAACATCCAAATTTTTTCTTGACGCGTACAGGTCGATATTGTCAAAATTGGGCAAAAACATGCATGGTGTATAATTTATTCTTTATCACTGTTTATTAAACAGTTCTTGTTTATTTAGCTTTTTCTGTAGCAATAATATCATCTAAAGTCCGCCGACAACTTTTATTAATGGTATGAAAATAATATTGCTTTTTTGCCTTTCACATGCTCCTGTGCTATAAATAGCACCACACGAACTTTTAATGCAAACGGGAGTAACTCTAAAACTTTTACCTCGATGCCAACAATTTATATTGCAAAACCTAAATATATATTTTTGATTTAAAAAACAAACAAACAAACAAAATGGAAAACAACGGGGCTGGATATTTTGCTACGCTCGATATAGGCCTAATCTTAAATGAAATTCAGTGTGCCCCTGGTAACTTTGCCTATCGTATGGTCTTTCTGGTAAAAAAAAAACGAAATGTTTGTCAGTTATAGCAAAAAGCTGACAATTTTTAAATTTCATTAACCTTATCAGGGACCTATATACTAGGTATATAGTATATAGGTCCCTGACCTAATTGATAAATGCAGAAACTGTCCTTTTTTTTTTTTTTTTATACATTCCTCTTTCAAAAACACTTTTTTCGATAGCAAGCTAAAAATCTTGCTGAAAACGTAATACGGCGGTTACTCGAACATTCTCGCCGCCATTTCTGATCACTGTCCAACATTAGATGTTAAAAGAGAAATAGATTAACAAAATACTCTTTGATTATTTTGCTGAAAAGCAAAATCTGCATTGATTTGAAAATCAGGGAGTAAATACACTTTGAGGTAAAAAATTATCTGGAGCTCTGCTAATGTGTATCTCACACTGTCTCATGTATGTGATATCCTGTTACTTTATATAGTCTTGTTCCGTATGTACTAAGTTGTTTACCTATGGCAGAAGAGCAAGTCTCCGAGATCATTGGCCTTTAAATGCTCTAACAAAGCAGGATCCATCTCTTGTAGGAGTAATACAACCAACTCTGCAACAGATCAATTAAATTTTACATTTCAAGAATACTGTAAATGGTTGAAAGTGTGACAATTTTGATATATTAGAAATATGGCAAGTGAAAACTTTGACAATCTAATAACATTTAACAGCCTGAGAGCTCTTTAACAAGAATGTGAAAGATGACAAGTGGAAACTTTGACGATGTTTAGTTATTTGTAAATTTTCGTCAATGTTTCCATGTTGTTAAAATTTCCACTTTCACAGTAGACATTTCACAATTACTACACAGTAGTGAGGGAGATATGAAGATTTAATCACCCTTGAAAAATGTTCCCAGAGGGTGACATACATGTAAATTCCCTTATTAGTATTACCTGGGTAAAAGGAAAGTATTAAAATGGTGACAAAGTTACTGATCTTTGTTTACAGTATTTTAATGGCAAGAGTTACTGAATTTTATTCTGAGTATTACAATAGACATAGAATCTTTGTTCACAGTATTACAATGGTGACAGAGTTACTGATCTTTGTTTACAGTATGACAATGGTGACAGATAAATTAATCTTTGATCAAAGTATTACAATATTTAAGTTACTAATTCTTCGTTTATTACAAAACAATAGTAACAGAGTAACTTACCTATTTTGCTGACCATTCCCTCCTCTGTAAACTCGTGCTGAATTTTCTGTAGGTAATTTCTGAAGCACCAATAAGCCTCTACCTAATACAGGGAAAATAAATATGATTTTTTGACTTGATGCATTCTGAATATATCATCTGTCTGGACTTCAAATGTTAAGAGCTTTTTCTTGCCTCTATTATCCTTTAATCTTTGCCAATTTTTTCGTGTCTGTTTATTTATGATAACTAGCAGTAATTATCAAAAGGGAAATACTCAAAACATATTGTTTGACTGCAGCACACTTAATTAACAGAATATTATACACTAAAAAATTATACATATATGTACAATAAGACTGATTGCAATCCAATGGAATGTTCAAAATTCATTTCAAATATGCTATCTAAAATAAGCATGCATATATAGGATCCTACTGAAATTGACATCACCAATACTTTGAGAATATAACATTCATTTGATAACTATGTTTTAATTAAGACAAGTAAATGGAAATAGAAATCATCATTTTTTGATTTTGCACGAAACAAAACTTGGAAAATCAGTGCATAAAGAGTTCAGTGAGGGATACAGAAGAAGTTTAAGGTGAAAACAGAACAGGTAAGAAAAAATAACTGACCTCTGAGTCAAAAACGACCAGAAACTGGGCTAGAATATCATTCATTCCCTGAGCATATCCAATTTGTGGGTGGAAAGCCACGAATGTCAACAGGATGTTGCGTAATACTGTCAAGTTTGGATTCATTGTACCCCTACAATAAAAGCAAAAATTAATGAATTTCAAACATGAAACATTGTCCAGTTACATATATATGTATCATCATGATCAAAGAAACTACAAGCTCTCAATAAGACCCTTTTTTCCATCTTAACAAGTATGCTTTCCATTTGAAGAAATTTTATTATGAACACATTGAATAACATGTATATGAATGTATTGGATTCATTATATCAATTACTTAATTGACCTTGACATTTTTTTTTTGTTTTTATCTATTCATGAGAGTACAAATCAATTTGAATCAAATAATTTCTCAGTGTTAATCGTGCACTGACTTGAAGTAATCTAAGTCTCTATCTGTACGTGGAACGTCCTTGTCAATGACTCGCAGATGGTCCAACAAGTTTTTTACGCTTATCTTCTGTCTGTTCACATACACCTATAAAAGTAAAACCAAAAAACTGTGTTATTGTAAATAAATAAATATCAAAACATTAGACAGAGGTTTTCCATTATACGAAATTCCTGTCAGCATGCTTGCCAGTTAACCTTTCAGCAGGGTGCACTGATTCTCAAAGAGTTTTGTGTGACATAATCTGTGTACATTATTTCTAGATCTATTACATTAAAATACATTTTGTAAATTGTGAATTATCTTTCAAACAGAAACATCATCTTAAGTTTATAAAAGAAAGAAAGAACCGTGGACGTTAATTCATGATTCCAACCTATGATTTACACACTCATAATTAAGTAAGTGTACTAAATGCTCATTGTGAATAAATACACAATTCCCATACTGTCAAAAATGAAATGTTTCATTTATTGTACATACTGTATCAAACAAAAACATCAAAACACAATATCATGAATACAGAGGACATGTATCCTGTATCTAATTTTTATCAGCTGTTCCGTTTTAGAGTTGTGATAAATTATGGTTTTGTTTTATTAATTAAGGGACAAAGATAGATCTGTTTATGACATACTATGTACTAATCATTGTTTGATGCCTTCTTTGAGATTTAAATATCTAATTAATAACAGTATAATTACTGGTTTATAAAAAATTAAAATAGTAACATGTGAGTTCAATTAGTGTATCAATTTAAAAATCATTGAATTTGAAGAGTTTCCTCTATGAATTAAGGAAATGCTTCAAATATATATTAACAACTTCTTTCAAAATGATAAAATGTACTTGGAAAAACGGAAGTGATTATTAACAAGGATTAGCTCTGTACATACTCTCAAGGCTGTCATGTATGCCATTTTAAATTTTATCTGTAAAACTCCACAAGAGGGCAAATATTGTAGTAGAGTGTACTTTAAAAGTGTCTAACATGATGTATAGGCCATTGTATGACTATGTTCCTTATATTTTATATTATATAACATGTATCACAATCATCTCAATAATAGAGGCATTAAATTACAAGAAAATCGTTTATTTTTATCATCAATTCTTAATAAATAGATTAAAAGCTTTTGTAAATTTTCCAAGACAAAACTACCTTCAAGAACAAAAAAAAATCATTTAATTAATAGAAGCATGAAAACATCCCTACAGCATTACGAAATATACACTATACCTGAGCCTGAATTTTCATGAAGTCGATTTTCTGTTGCATCTCTGGAGATGATACATCAATGTCAAAATTCCTGGACAGGACCTTAAAGTCCGGCTTCTCCGCCTTCATTTTCCCATCCATTAACATCTTTTCCATCATTTCAAACTCTGAGATGTGGTCCCCAGGGCTGTGGTCTGGGCTTCTAATCGTATTGTTCTGGTCCTCTATCTGGTAGCGAGCCACCAGTCCTTGCTGTAGCAGCGTAGCCCCAGGGTGGGCATTCAGGACCAACATGGTTTTCCAGCGTGATTTCATTTCATGATACTTCATGATGTAATCTAGAAGTAGCTCCTCCCGCTCTCTAGTAGTGGACGTACAGGGATATAGACCGAAGAGAAACTGCCAAGCTTGTTTACGAAGGTCTGGCTCCACCCCACCCATGAATATGCACTTCCTAAAAGCGTGTTCATCAACAAGTCTACCATCTTTGTCAAAAAGTTTCTCAAATGTCTCGCGAGATAATGGATCACCTCTCCTTTTTACGGGAGTTGGTAGTGACTCATTGTCGTCAGTGGGGAGGGCTTTTGAGTTTACTTTTAAAAAATGTGGTTTTTTGCCTGCATAGGAGCCTAGTCTCCCTCTTGTAGTAGTTTCATTGTCTGAACACATACATTCTGATTGGTCACCTTCATTCTCACTTTCTTGTGACAAGGAAGGTGATTGGTTCTTTGAGTTATGGTTATGGCTTGAGCATGATTGGTTACAAGAACATGAAGAATATGATGCAATGTCTTGCTCTAATTTGTCAGACTTCTCTGAAGTTGGCACATTACTCTGTTGACTAGAATGTTCACGTTTTTCACAACCATTTCTTGAGATGCTGTCTGTTGTTTTTTGACTAGAGATATTTACAGAATTTTGGTTTGATGTGGCACAACTGACACAGTTTTCAGGTTGGGGCCCCTGGGAGGCATCTTTGGTTTTGTTCTCTGTTTCTGGAAAGTCTATGAATTCAAAGGAGTCATCAACACTACATGGCCTAAAAATGAAAGAAAAACATCAAGTTCTCTTTTAAATTATTTATCCAGATTCAGTCAAGGTTGTACAGGGATTTACCCATGGGGTTGTATTCCATACACCTTCAGGGTTCAATTAACACCTAACATTTTTCGGCTTAAGTCTGGCTACCCGATACGTATTGCAAGTTATTTTTCCAATATGATACATTCTTGAATATTGATATGTATCGATATATCAATATATTGACACAGCCCTAGAGGCATCTTAGCTAACCTAAGGGAGCGGAGTGGACCAAAAATCCTTAGCTAGCGAAGATGATATGCATGATACTTAATATACATATGAATAACTAGGTGTCACACATATTGTTATATCAAGATCCAGGCACCTGTGTTTTGGGTCAACAGTAAGAATGGATTCATGACTTGATCATGTTGATACCATGTGGATACAGTTCAGTATTCTAAATAGACAGACCATTTTTTTTTCTATTCTATAAATATATTTTTTTTATTTTGCATTATTTAACTCTCTTTCAATTGTAACAAATATGTCATCATGCTCAGTACGTTTTAAATCAACCACAGACTGAAAAATGACACGCACCTTCAGTTTCAATTACTGAATACGTTGGACATGACAAGGGTAATAAAAATTTGCATACAAATAAAGACTCTAATTATCAGCTGTTCGTCGCACACGTTTCCACGTCACTCACGAAGATTCGCTGATTAAAACGAATAGAAAGTTAATGTTTATCAGAACTCATTTATCACTCAAGGTTTGGAGAAAATGATCTTTACCTCTGAACTAGATCCATCTTCCGTTGTCGTCCAACCGTGCTTTCTTCTGTCATCATCCGTCATAAATACGGAGACATTTTCTGCGAGCAATTTCATTGGACAAAAATAACTTCTAATACACTGAAACGTTTCCTAGTAATTTGCTGAAGTATAAAAATGTGTATATTAATTCTTTTTATTACAAATGAATATACAATTTTCAAGTGAAAAGCATATATTAATTTATACATCGTGGTATTTTAGCTAATCACTAAAGAAATGCTATTCTCTGCGAAGCATGAAAACAAGCAGTCACTGAAACGAAAACAGTTCCCGTGAATATTTTACGGAAGGCGGAAGAAAATCATGATAACACACTTGTGTCTTGTGCTAGGTAATGCTTGTAGACTCCCATAAACACTGTCTATTATATTCTTAACCGATATAGTTGTGACATACACTAGGCCTAATTATTTCAAAGTGCAAGAAATAGAAGACCGAGATGATTGAATAATGTTAGTACACGTGCACTTGCCTCAAAATCATATGATTATTTACATTGCGCAACTGATTTTTTTGTTTCATGTCATACACCTTTTCATACATGTCAGTTGGTGCATGTGATAATCAAACCCGATAGATGTGTAGTTCTTGCCAAAACAAAATTTTGATTGCATAAATTATGGGTATTGAATCAACACATTTTTAGGGCCTTTTGGCTATAGTATTGATTTGAATGATGATTTGGCCCAAAGCATTTTTCTCCTCGTTGGTTAAATGTAAAGTTTAAAGATTTATTTTCTTTATACAAATTTGGATTTCATAAGGTAGTCTTACAAGTATGTCTTGTACTATATACATTCAAACCTCATTTAAATGTAACAGAGTTAAAAGTGGCTATGTGTTGTATATAGTGAGGCTACGCTCCTACTAGCACTAGCTAGTGGGTTAACCCTTTAGCTCAGTCGGTAGAGCGTTGGATTTTAAATCTGAGGGTTGTAGGTTCGAGCCACAGTGTGGACACCCCTAGCTAATCGGTCATATAAATATCTTGAACGGAACAGGACCATGCAGGATTAAACTTTGAAATATCCCAGGATTCGAGATAAACAGGGTATATAACAAAAAGAGTAAGTGGTTGGGACTACCAATGCACTTTAGTTGTTTTGCCTCTGACTAGAATGACACTCAAGTCATTGGAGAACAATCATCATGTGCCTGTATGCCTTCAGTATTTCTTTGGGTGGCGGAGTTGCAAAATTTGGAAGGCAATATGGTAAAAAATGTCATTCAACTTAAAAGAAAAAAAAATCATATGAGTGCTATTTTCACACTTAAAAATGTTTAATTGTAATTGATCTGGATAGGTTTGTTTGTCTCTTGACAAAACAAAACACTTCTTACAGCCTTGCCTTCCACGGACTTGAACAATTAACTCGTACCAATATTTCTGTGGACAGTCTGTAACAATCCTAATAAGTAATTATCCCTGGTATTAGAGATAATGCCTTAAATTGTGTTCTAGATAATGAACTTCAAATACTTACTTTTATTCTAAGTGTTTGGAAAATCTACCTGCCAGTGGATTCAACATGTTCAAATACATCTATTAATGAAAGGAGATAATCTAAAAACCAGAGTGAAATTTCTTCCAGAGGAGTAAATACTAAATATTGATGGGAAGTTTTATCTAGATTATTCCACTGGGACAGACTGACAGACAGATTGAGGGACAACTAGACAGACGGACAGACAGACAATGAGAAAATCTTAAGTCCCTATTCGGTTTCACTGGTATGGTACTAATTAGAACTATATTTGCATGACATGATGATTTATACCACTGTGATTTGCTCATTCTAAACCATATCCTTTGATGATGAATATATAGAGGATATTCAATGTTTTGTACTTGGATATGGAATTAATTTCACAAGTGGGACAGGATTTTTTTTTATATTTTCACAAGTGCGAAGCACAAGTGAAAATATCTAAAAATCCTGTCTCACTAGTGAAATAAATCATGTAAATTCCATATCCAACTACAAAACATTGAATTTTCTGTTTATTACATTTTCCTTGATTTTCTCTTTGCCTCTGTCTTTTCTTAACACAGTGTCATAGTTCAGCAGTTGAGATGTCATAGCTTAGCATTTGTGAGATTGAAAACATTGCAACAGATTTTAGCAACATATTTGGGAAGAAATTTGCATTTGTAATCTCTGTCAAGATGGTTTAGTGACTATCTCAACTTTATTACAGGCCAGAAATTATATTCTACTTACTTAGATATCTTTCACACTGTGACAGAATATAACTTTGGTATCCTTTCACACTGTGATAGAATATAACTTTTTTTATTCAATGAATAAACCACAGTATCTCACTGTTGATTGATTAATTGTATGTTGTTTTACATCCAGTTAAAGAATTTTTCACTCATATAGAGACATCTATTTCACTGTTGAAAATGTAATATATTATATATTTTTGTTGTAGGCCTGGCATTGTCAACAACTGCTGCCACGGATCCAGCCTGTCCCCTATGGAAACAGTATGTAGACACCTTTAATGCTGGCAGTGGGCGTCAGCCTGTGAGAGATGGTGGGGTGAGGTTTATGTGTAAATACCATCCAGAGAAGTGCGAACAGCTGGACTGTGAGGGAAGGTTCAGCAATGCATTAGTAAGTAAGAGGGAAGGTATTCATATCAGTATGGATAGTTTTCAGATGATATATGTTTCCGTCAGAGTTATTCCCCTTGCCTCCTAATATAGATCAGCTCTGGCAACAAAACTTTTTTCCAAACTCTAACTCTGTGCTTAAATATCCTCATACTAAGTGATCAAACTCATCTCAGAAAGGCAGGGTTGGCAAAAAAGTGGGAAATACTCATATTTCCCAGAATGGTGGGAAATACTAGTAATTACCTGGAATTACTGGTATTTCCTGGGAAATGCTGGGAAATATGAAATAGCTGCATATTTCATAATAATTTTAATCATATTTGTAGGGATATAAACATGAAGTACACCTTATTGGCTAAGATATCTACCTGGTATCACTGTCCCTGATTAAAAAATTTCTGGTTTCCAAGTTATTCATTTTATCCTGCAACTACCCCTTGCATTGACCATATAAAGGTAACCTAATAAACCAAAGCTTTATTCGGTCACTGCCCTAATAAAGCCTTGTGCATGTATTCCGACATTCTAAAAGCATTGTGACATCATGAATATTGCAATGTTTACGCCATGGCATCTTAGATTCAACTGCAGAGATGTACCTAAATCGATTGAAAATAGCTCGTTTTGAAGGTCATGTAAAAATATGTTGCAGGATAAACAAAATACATCGATACTGTCTTGAAATATAAGCGATATTTGGGCTCGGGTCGAAAACGTGATAGAGGGCTCGGCAAGCCTCGCCCTCTATGACGTTTTCTTACCCTCGCCCAAATATCGCTTATATTTCAAGACAGTAACCATGTATTTTATATTTATATAATCATAACACAGTATATTCATGGACTAGACATCAGTGTCATTTGTTTCATGCTTGAGGCAGATGTAGTCTATAAAGGGCCATGAAATGAACCCATTTAGATCCCTGGGTTTTTTTTTTCGTTTCATACTAATTGTTAGGCCATTATTTACACACTGAATTGTCAACGGATTTTTCCGTTATTTCCCGATCATGACAAGGAGCACACGGCGGGTGTGACCGGTCGGCAGGGGATGCTCACTCCTCAATGGCACCTGAACCCACCTCTGATGTTTGGAGGTACGTGTTTGCTCTGCTCCTATTTTGTATTGTATAATGGACTTTTGAGCTTGGTTACTGTTCGTTATCTCCATATATTTCATACAGCCAGGGAAATGTGTACTGCTTCAGAATGCTTATGGGTAGGGGACCTGGAGTAGTGATTACTCTGAATATGTTAAATTGCAGTTTGAGACATATTCAAAATTATTCATCTTCTGTTTTTATGTTTATTTTATTTCTGAATTTGGTTTAAGATTGAATAAATTAAAGAAATAATAAATTTAAACTTTGTATTTCCCAGTATTTCCCAATATTTCCCAATTGAGAGAAAATTTATAGTATTTCCCGGGACGGGAAATACCGGTATTAACCACTGGTGATTCCCACCACTGATATTTCCCGGCCAACCCTGCAGAAAGGAGTGATACACAGGAGTATACTTAACACTCTCAATGTTTTACAAAATCAGTGATCAGTTTTACATAAAGTATTCAGCAGTTAAGCACTCTTAGAAGATAAACGTTGAAGTTTGTTAAATATGGATGATGTTTTTAAAAGACTTAGTGAGATTAATATAATGTGAAATAATGTTGCATCATAAATTTTTTTTTTTCTTTTATCTAATGTTGTCTTTAACACACAGAAACTGTAGTAAGAGTAAATGCAGGTTAAACACCATGACATAATGCATATTTCTGACCTATTGCCTTTGTAGACAGGGACTTTCCAGTATTGTTTGAACATGGTCATGAACCACTGTGACAAACCTATCAATATGGATGTTAGCATCAGCGTAGATAAATTCAACTTTAACTTCGCTAAGCGAGTCGCACACAATACTCGATTCCCTCTGGCTCTCAAGAATCAGTGTAAGGCTATTATTAAGACAATTGTGTAAATCTTTCTCAACATTTCAGTCTGTTTACAAAAAAAAAATAAGTATTAGGCTTTAGGCGTGGTTGTATTGAAGTTAAATCTGACATTCTGTTTTTTTATTGAATCTTGAACAGCTTTCAGTCTTTCCGGAATTCCCCTTCGTGAGTATTTGGAGTTCACCTTGGTGAAGCTGAATGCCACAGCTGTCAGAATAGGAGTAAGTATCTGCCAATATAAGTACAGTAGAACCTGTCTAATCTGACATGCACTGGACCACATACATGTATCAGAAAAATGTCAGCATGTACAGGATGTCAGATTATACAGTGTAAAGAACATGGAAAACAGTAGTCTAAGAGTAGGAATGAGTGGCAAAGGTCAGAATTCACATTTAAACAGACTGTATGGTGTCAGAATATACAGGTTTTACTGTACCTGCCTCTCGTTCATACTTTATATATATATATATATATATATATATATATATATATATATATATATATATATATATATATATATATATATATATATATATATATATATATATATATCAAATGAGGAGGAATGAATATATTTCTTGCTTTCCTCCTCAAAGATCATGCTCCTAATATATATAAGGAGATACAGCTGTCATTAAACAATGAATATGTCACAACAATTAGCTGTATGATTCAGACAAGTGAGATAGTTCTTATCTAAATGACACATTGACTAAGAGCCCCATGGCCTAGAAAGGATGTATCAAAGCATATGATTTAATTTGATGTTTCTCAGAAATTCACAATGTATTTTTTTTCTTTCATTATGTAGATGAAGCTCTCAACAGAGTTGTGTATCCCAAACTTGGGCTGTACCTTTAATAAGAAGATTACTCTTATACCAGACAATATTGTACCTGTGTCAAGATGTAATAAAACAACCAAAACACCACTGCCAAAGGCACCAAAATGTGGCAAAGGAAAGACTGGTGGTGGTGGTGTTCCATTCACAACTACCACAATGCCACCACACACCACATACAAGTCAGGTATAGTTAGTATTGTGTTCATGGCGGGCATTAAAATGCCACCACATACAAATTAGGTATAGGTGTTGGTAAGTTCTAAAATACTGCCACACACCCTGTACATTCAAGTGCAATATGTGTAAATGTTGGCAGTGATAATGCTTGGTTTTCACTACCTCCTTTAAAGATTCAATCACATATTCACATGGAAGGCAGAAATGCAACTGTACTATATTTAATTATAATAAAGTTGATATTGATTATATTTTTCCAAACAATCCTCATAGCCTTTAGAGACATTATGTGGAAATTAGGGAATTGATAAATAGAAATGTATTTTATATCAAGCTGTGAAAAATAGATAATGTTTTTAAAAAACCATGGAAATGGAAAAAAGGTCTTTTCATTGATAATCAATATTTATAAAGAGTTTTTTTCATAAGTAAATGTTTAACTTTACTCAGCTTCCTTTGGAAAGAATTGTTCTATGACTGATATCATGAATAATCCATGTGGAAGGAATGAAGTGTGCAAACAGGGAAGGTGTGCCTGCTTCACCCCTCGTTACCCTTTGTGTCAGTACTCCAATCTGTGTCAGACCGAAGGTAAAACACTTCTAAAAGTTAAAATTATACTTTTAAAGATTAAAATAATGAATTTTTTATCATTTATTTACATGATAATGTTATACCAACTTGTACATGTATCTCTATTTTGCAGATTTTGTTTGGATTTTTTTGTTTTGATTGTTTTTTCTGAGAATATTTTTGCATGATATTTTTTTTTACCAGATTCATTCCTCTTAATTAACTATTGAAACACTAATTACTTGATTTTGTATTTCTTTTTAGCATCTTTAACAAAAATTATTGTTCATTTTTTTGTATTCAGAGATGAATTTATGTAGAGGCACTATTGATAAGGGAAGTAATTGGGGGAAGAAAATATTTTTGTAAAATATCCTTGGAAATTACTTTAATAGCAGAAAAAAATGAAATAAATTTGAAAACAATTTTTATTACCTCAACTGGTCAGAGACCAGAAGAGCTAATGTATGGTGTACATCATCTCTGTCTAGCTCTCTGTCTGTCTGTCTGTCCATCTGTAAACAATTTTTCAAAATGCTACTCCTCCTACAGTTTTTGTCTGATTTCAATATAACTTGACACACAAGTAGACTATACTTAGATACATATTCTTATTAATCAGTTTTTGATTTGGATGAACAGTGTTGCCATGGTTAATAAAATAGAAATTTCTGTGTAATATCTCAAAATGCTACTCCTCCTACAGTTTTGGTCAGATTTCAGTATACTGGCACAAAAGTAGACTACACTAAGATACATATTTATCTCTGTAGATTTTTGATTTCCACAAATGGTTTTGCCATGGTTACTAAAAATAAAAAAATATCATTCTTTGAAATACTTTAAAATTGGTACTCCTCCTACAGTTTTGGTCTGATTTCAAAATAACTTGGCACACAAGTAGACTACACTAAGATACATAATTCTGTGTATTGGTTTTTGATGAATGGTGTTGCCATGGTTACTAAAAACAGAAATTTCTGAGAAATACTTTCAAAACGCTACTCCTCTTTCAGTTTTGGACTGATTGCAATTAATCTTCCTGCAAAGAGACTAAACCAAGGATCATTCTTCTATTTAATGCTATTGCAAGGTTTCAAGTCCAAGTGCTACTTTTCTCTTCCTTTGTTATAAATACAATCCAGTAGAGCTACAGTCTTGTCAGAGACTTCTGGTTAGGGTTATTTACTGTGTTCTGGGTTAATTGCTTCATAAAAATCAACAAAGTTTAAAATGAAACATTTCTACTTCCTGAAATTATAATTTTATGACACATTGATGCAAGGGCTACTAAAATTAGAATGATATGTGGAATTCAGGTCCAGTTGTTACTTTTCTGTCAATTTAAGAATAAACAATGGAAAAAAAATGTAAGTCCATTATTTTTACAGAGGCTTTTTATAAAGATATTAAAACAAATGGGGAAATCTAATTAAAAATCATCATGTGGTAATCCTTATAACTGAGTGATGTAAATGTGGAAACTGTACTTCCAAAATTTCAGTAGATACAATGTATATTTATTAATTTCATTTATGCATGTGCTGTCAAACTTCATTATCTTGATCTTGATGGGTTGAAAAATTAGTTATGGGGGACTTCAAACTCACTTTCATTTGATATGCCAGGACTAAAGATGCTATTCAAGATTTTAGTGTTCCAAATATTGAAGTCCATTTTAATTTCAATTGTATTTTTCACCTATTTAAAAGACCTTCATATTTTTCTTTTAATTAGATTTTTTTACTTAATTCACAGAGAGCTGTGCAAAGCACATAGTTCCTCCACTTGAATTTGGGCCCAGTAGTCCTCACAAAAGCCCTCGGAACAACTCATCTGGAGGCCCCACAGACAGTAAGTACCCAATCAAAGAACTTGATACATGCCCCCAGTCAGTAAGCAGCTTATCAATGAACACTTTATACAACGGAGTCAGTGGGTAAAGTAGGGAAAAAAATGTGATTAATTTGAAGGATAAACCACAAACAAACACTCCAAATTGTTATGGTTCCTTCATTTTTGCAGTTTGTAAGACATTGGTGGAAAATAACATAGCATAAATTTTTGTTATGAAATTCATCCATTTGGTACTTTGAATCCTGGTCTTATCATTTGCATATTTTTACTTCAAGTTACATTGTTCATCTTATGAACGTGTATAATGTCAAATGTGTTGATTTTTTTTATCCGTCAGAAACTGCTCTCATTGTTGGAGGAACTTTGGGAGGAATCATATTCATCGTCATAATCGCGGGAATAATTCTCGTTATGTTGAAGAAGCGTGGGGCGAATTATAGAGGGCGCCAACTGTTATTAACGGAGGATGATACAGATGGTATTATATAAAGAGAAAGAAAAATAGGAGCACCAAAGTGGAACGTAAAGATTTGAGGAGATTTGATTGGCTGTTTCAATGGATATTTAGAGATCAGCATCAAATGCTGAAGTCTTGCAAAACTATATTTTTTCAATGGAGATTCTACTCTCACTCTTCACTTTACATTGACTTATTTTAAATTCACTCTTATTTGCAATAGATGTGTAAAATTACATGTGATTTGAGGTACAAGATTTACTATTACCCCTGGAAATGCTCATTTAAGTATATTTTTTGGAAGATAAGATCTCGGAAATTTCTGTTTGGTCATGGATCATGCAATATCTGAAATTTATTGTTGAAGGACTTTTCATTTACATATATACTTTTAGAAGAGACCTTATTTTGGTCATGTCAAAGTACATGTAGTAATGCATTTTCAGCAAAGGTATTTAATACTGTGAAGTTTATTTTTGTCAGTGTTTAATGAATATCATGATTCTACAAAGATCTGTTCTTTTTCTTTCTTTATTTTTATTTCCTGATTAATTTATATTTGTATATTATTTCTAGTTTTGTTTGTGGTGTATTTCTCTATTTTTCTTGCACTGTATATTTATCTCTTGCTTTCTGATTATGATCTGTGGAGATATTTTCATCATCTCATCTTTATCATCAGTTTTATCATCTTCATCATTGGCATCTTCATCATCTTCATCACCAGCCACAATGAAATAGTAAATATGACTCTAAAATCATGCTTTTCTCTTAGAGAAATATCACATATATATGTATGTACTTTGTGTTGCAGATCTTTATGATAAAGATCTGTGTAAGGCAAACATTGCTCATCTACATATGTATGAACTTACCAAACATCTTTTACTGTGATATTCTGACTAATGTACATAATACATAATAAAACAATATAGATGATATTAAGAATTTACATAGTTCAGCTCAAATTTTATCCAAATAAACAATATTCATTTTTACTTTTTATAAGGAATCATTTTTTTTGTTTTTTGTTTTCTTTATTATAGAAAAAAAATATGGGGATATTTTAAAGTGCTTCTTCACAATGCCAAGGTTTTGTGATATCATTCCTCTACTTAAACCGTCAACAAAATTCGCCATTTAGAAGTCAGGCTAAAAAAATACTATTTCATATGTTCCCGGTCTTTGACTGGGAACCAATCAGAAAACAGCTTTTATAGTAGGTAAGTTTTGTAACAAATATAACTTGCCTTTAAAATGGAAAGTGCCAAATTTGTACAATTTGTAACTTAGCTATCTTTGATAAAATATTGAAGAATAATTTTTGGAAATCCTTCTCCTTACAATCACAACTGATGTGTAATGGCTTTGGGCAACTTAAAAACGAAAGGGATATTCTGATTGGTTGGTTTATAATCAATCATTACATCATGTGTAACCACAAGCTCAACTTTTAAACAGTGACTTTTGTCAAGGATTTGTGAAAAGGAAAGATATCACAAAAACCTTGATATTGTGAAGATGTGGAGATTTCCATTGTATATTCAGTAAAATACCCTTATATACACTATGATACACATTTCTAGAAGCTGAAGTTTAATTAAGTGCACAGCATCCGAAATACATGTTGTTTTTATGGCCACATCTTACTTTTGCGAGTGAATATCTATGTTGTTAACACATCACATCTTTTGATTGTCATGTGTATTTAATTTTATGTTCTTTGATTTTTTTTCTAATTAAGATTTGTATGTACCCCAGATTTGACATTATTTATGATTTTTTTAAAAACATTTTTGTGTGCATTTTTTTTTTTTTGCATTCAATAAACACTTATTTCAAATTAAGAATGAACATTCAAAACTGTATATTTGATATACTACATCTTTTGATTGAAATAATTTTTACTTCAAATATCATAATAATAATTCTGATCTTTTTGCCTGTTTTTATCTTGTGAACCAAAATGAAACCAATATTTTCTGTTTTTAGTTAAAGACTTTCATTTGTAAATAATGTTACCTTTTGGTAAATTTGCTTATCTATATACTTATAATAGATTTGTACATACACTGTATTGTATTTGGAATTCTCATATTGATTTTTTGCATATCATTAATATACAGTGGCATATAAATGTCTATGTTTGTTTTACTTATATTGTTTTATTTCCATGTTTAGGAATTACATTCAATGAAAAATCAAACACCTACGTACACTTACCTTGTATATGTCATTTTTTTCTAAGCTTAAATCAACCAAACTTTTCTGTCAGAAATTTGTGCTTAATAGGAAATTGTAAAAATTACATAATTACTAAAAAGTACCATATAACAGGAATTTTTTGTGACAAACCATTTTTGACATTTTTAGCTATGGTCTTGGAAATGCTAAAAATAAATGTTGCTACATGTAATTATTAAATCACAATTAAATAGAGTTATCTTCAATATCAATTAGAAAATAATTAGTCCTACTTTCAGGATAAAATCACCAAATAACCTGTTATAAGGTATTATCTGTGTTTTACATAAGCCATTTGTTATATATAAGCCATGCACTTGTAAGCCTCAGTATCAGCATCCATTGATGTATTGTAAAGGTGATGGTTTATTTAATATGACGTAAATATATCTGCATAGCCATAGTGAGTTCACAAAGTGAAAGAATATAAATAAATGCTTGTTAGAATAAAGTGTAGCTCAGAAAGTCATTCCAGTTTAATGTAAACGTACTTAATGAGCACATTCAAAATTCCTTCATATCTGATTTAGAAAATTATAAATTAGCCCGTTTTGAGGCATGTTTCAGTATGTTTTAGTATTTGTTTCATTTTGAATAAGAGAACAAGGAAACACAGGGAAAGCACTAAAATATGATTGCCATAAATTAAGTACGTGTACAGTACGTGTATTTCAGCAAATACAAAACAAATACAACAATGTTCACAGGAAAGAGTTGGTGTCTTTTTTGAAGGAAATTGATAATAAGATTCTTTCTGCATGAGAAGTTTAGCATGATTTACACAAGCTGACCATGTCAAACTGTTAAAAACACAAACAAAGGTGATAGTTAATATAATTCCTTATTTAAGATAGCAGTAAATTAACTGTTAGTAAGAAGCCTTTAGTCTAGAATTTTTCATATGGATACTTTGTTTTTTATTTATTATGCATTTGCTTTCTTTTGATGCTTTTTGTGTATTTATTGCCCCATTTGTTATATTGTAATGTATGTATTTTTGTTAAGAGTTAATTGAAAATGGGATTGATGTTAAAATGGCTTCTTGAGAGAAGGATCATTGCTCCTGAAAGTTTTGGATGTTTGCAGCGATAAGGTTGAGTTTTCTGTTTTTCAAACTAGGTGAAAATCGGGTATCTTTAGCAAATGTCTGTGTTTAGCATCAAAAAACTGTTTTTTGTGGACATTTCAAGTTTACTAATTGTTAAAATGTTGAATTTTTTTAAGCATTGAAGAAGAAAGTAACTTTTTTTGGAAGTTAAAGTATCAATTGAATAGGATTTTTATTGAATGGTGTTTATCTTGATATATGATGCACATATTTTCTTTAATATTTTGATGGGTATCATATAGAATCGTTTGAGAAAATATGTTGATTGTGATTGCAATGTTAGGAGAAATCTCGGAATTATTCCAGCTGTATAGTTTTCGTTTTATTCAGGCTATAATGAGAAATATCTATATTTCAAACCTGTAATGCTTATTTGATATACATGTAGTTATACTTTGTATTATAAATCTCTCCTCACAAATTTGCATAATACATGCATACAGGACACTGATAGTTGTTTTTTGTACAGTGGCTGCAAAAGTTGTTTAACTTTTTGTTTTGTTTTGATGGAGTTGTGAACTGCAATGAAAATAAATAACATTCCTTTGAATAAAATTGTGTAAAATACTTTATTGTATGTTATTTTTTTACGGAAGACTTAAATGTCAATTTATATCACATAGTATGGTAATTAAGTATACTAAACTTTATAAGAAACGCACCACAAAATAAATTATTTTCTTGCGAAATACATTTCATTTTCAAATTTTTTAATCACTTAAAATATCCTTGATATTCACAGAGTTGGAAAAAAAACAGGCAAGATTTTGACAGCAACAAATAAACCATAGCGGTTTTATTTTGTTAAAAAGTCAGACATCTCGTTCGTGCTATCTGATAACAATTGCTAATACTTTCTTTAGTATTTGGTTTTTTGAAGAGCCAGGTTCACATTACAAAAGGAAAACTGGAAAGCATCCTTGCGTTATACGGATAGCTGCTTAAATCCTTCCAATCAATGAACACAACCAACATTTTGGCAAGTTAGGAACATGCTGGAATACCTAGCTGCGACAGATGTTGCAGACGTGCTTCATCGCCACCATAGAACTATTGCGCGCCCCCAGACAAAGATATTCGGCCACATATAGCATATATGGTCATCGGAGGGCGGGTGCTTCAAGGGTAACTACAATCATACGAGATTGCAGCATCTTCGTGCAAAATTGCTAAATGAAATCTTGAGATAACGAACAGTAATCAAGCTTAAAAGTCTATTGAAACAATACAAATTGGGAGCAGAGCAAACGCGGACCTCTAAAAACATCAGAGGTGGGATCAGGTGCCATGAAGGAGTAAGCATCTTCTGTTAAACTGTAAGACTCGCCGTATGAAGTGTGTAAATATTTGTTTGAAAAACGTCAGCAAAAGACTACAAAACAACAATCAGAGAAACTCCCTGGAAGACAAAATCCAAGGATCACCTGTCTGCCTGAAAATGGTATATTTTTCTAGGCAAACTTGCACAGATCTTATTTTCATAGGGTTCTGATATCACAGAACACACTGAGTCTCTGATTCGCAGAAATAAACTGCTTTTGTTTATATATGCTTTGATATTAATCTTATTACTCGGTTTGAACTGATTCGATGGTGCGTTTTTATGCCCCGTAATCGAGGATTTGGGGGCATAGTTTTTGCTCTGTCCGTGCGTCTAGCTGTCTGTTTGTCTGCAGAAAATTAAACCTTGCCCATAACGTTTGATTGGTTGGAGCTATGGCTTTCATATTTTACAGGTGTATTCCTTGTGACAAGACCTTTCAAGTACCAACATATTTGACCTCGAGACTCTGATCTTGGAGTTTGACCCACTTTTGCAAAATTTTACCAAACTTTAACCTTGTTCATAACTTTTGAACGGTTGGTGCTAGGGCTTTCGTACTTTACATGTATATTCCTCGTGAGAAGACCTGTCCATGGGTACAAATATTTTTGACCTTGGCTTTGGAGTTTGAACATTTTTTAAAAAAAAGCTTTAACCAATGCCATAATTTTTGAATAGTTTGGGCTAGGGCTTTCATATTACATGTTTATTTCTTGTGACAAGACCTTTCCATGGGCCAACAAATTTGGCCTTATGACCGTGACCTTTGAGTTTTACCCAACTATTGAAAAACTAAGCATTTTCCCCAACTTTTGAACTGTTGTTGCTAGGGCTTTCATATTTCTCAAGTGTATTCTTTGTGACAAGACCTTCCCTAGGGTACCAACAAAATTGACCATTTTACCTTGAAATTTGACCCACTTTAAAAAACGTTATGTTTGGCCATAACTTTAAAACTGTTGGTGCTAGGGCTTTTATATTTCCCAGATATATTCCTTGTGCCAAGACCTTCCCTAGGGTACCAACAATTTTGACCCCTTGACCTGAGAGTTTGACCTATTTTTTAAAACCTTTAACCATGGCCATAACTTCTGAACGGTTAGTGCAAGGACTGTCATATTTCACAGGTGATTCCTTGTGATAAGACCTTCCCTTGGGTACCATCAATTTTGACCCTTTGACCTTGGAGTTTGATTTGCATTTGTGAAACTTAAAACTTTGCTATGAGCTGCCATACGGGGCATGTTTCACAAACATATCTTGTTAATGAATGTCAGTATATCATTAAATTTCGCAGCAAGTATCTACCGACAACAATATATAATTTTATTAATGTGTCTGGAACATGAAAAAGTACAATTCTATATCACAATTGACAATTTAAACTTTCTAAACAGAAATTAAATGCCCAGAAAAGCAACTATAATTAGCAGCATTAATCAAAGCATTATAGTTCTGTGAATTGCGACACCACACGTCTTGACCAGCATTAAGGCGGACATTGACATCCTGTGTAGATGAGAGATAATCACTGTCACCAAGGTATGAGTGAATAAGTTCGTTTCCATCTTTTACCATATGAATGACCATTGGATGTGACTTTGTTGAAGAGATGGTCATGGAGAAGTGGTAAAGTCCAGAGACAGGTGCCCGAAAAACGCCATGCCGAGAATCGAAACCATTACCGTCGTTTGTGATCACGTTATCAAATTCGATTGTTTGAAGGTACCCAATATTTACTCCGCTTGATGATGATAGACACGCTGTAAACCCAATTCCATGCTGTGGTAGTTTAGCTGAAGAATCTGTTTGGAAGAAAGAAAAAAAAAGGATTACACGAGAAAGCAGTCAAAATTTCAGTAGTTTGCAGCTGCTTGTTGCATGACTGTCTGAGGGATTTTTATCACGACTCAAAATATTTTGATATGACAAAGTTAAAATGTTATTAAAATTATAATATATAATTATCTCTCCATGATTTTGAAACGTTACATGTGTGCATTTTAATTCAAAGAAACTAACAAACATTTGTAAAAAAAAAAAAAAAAAAAAAAAAAAAAAAAATGGAGAGAAGACCCAGAGACAATAAAAAATGTACTTTTTCCCAAAAAAATTCCAATGTTTAAATGCGGTGCTTCATTGTCGCTTTATATATAATAAGGCACATACATGTATACGGGACAAAAATATTTATTTTATTTATTTGGAAATATTTGAGCCAATTGAGGATGAATTATTTCTTTATTAAATGGTACTTAACCTTTTAAATTCCTACCACATACCTACCACACGCATACTGCGTCGGTCGCAAATACCGAATATATCACTTTGGTCAGAACGAATCAAAGCGGTTATCCTGCGCGCAGCTGTTAAAACGACCAATGATGCAAAGTTCATGACTCTGGCTCGAAGTTCTGCGAATTTCTCCCTTCTCCCTTGTCATGTTCGTTTGGTGACTTTTATCTTCACAATAAAAGCTACATATTGTTTAATTAATTAAGCCGTTAATTGGTATCTATTTGTATTTTTGTCTCTTTCATCAATTCTATTTTTTATACATTGTTCATTGTCCTTTTAGAATAATTGGCAGTTAGAGAACAAATTCAAGGCGCTCGGACTACCGACATTGCAGATATTGTTGTTTTCGGAGTTAAATAAATTTGTAAAACGGAAACCGAAGTATGCGATTTCTCTTGGTCACAATTGGTGTAGAATCTCCAGGATTATTAATCTCGGGGCTACTGCTTATATTTGTAGTATTAGATCCGATTACCTTTGTACAGTCAAGCGAGTACTCCTAAATGCCTATGGAATATTATCTACTGCATGAAAACATGGAAAATCACAAATTAAGTTGTTTGATAAACACATTGCAGAATTAAATTATAAAGTACTGCATACATTAAATAGCAATTTGAGTGTGTGCAAATAGAATTCAAATAAACGAATGTTTTGTGACAACTCTGGAGATAAGGAAAATGGCTCAAGATAAACTCCACTGTAGGTTCAAGATAAGTTGGAAACATTGTCATTGTTTCTTTCTTTTTAATGAAAATTCAGATTTTATTAATGTTATGAATATAATTAATATCCTTCATTACATTGAAGTTTTTAAATACAAGATGGAATGTAAATTAACAAATTTAACTTGTACCAGAGATTCTTTGTACAATTTTGTAAAATCATCAATTAATGTAAATTGCAGATTGTTCATGTAATAATGTACAAAGTAATAAAGTGCTTTAAAAAGTTTGTATATATCTGTTAATTTCAATATATGTTGCAGGTCCACATAAATCAGTTGTAGTATCTGTGTTAGCATGGGAACTAATTGAACTCTAGTAAGGAGTGGAAGGTGGCCCACCATGCAATCAAGGAAGCACATGCTTTAAACAAACGTGTATATATGTCATGCCTTCTTTTAATTATAAATATGTTAAGAAAAATCCATGTCTTGATATACTAACATATAGCTAAAAATGCTTCAACATATACGTATTTTCTCCATTTCTTCTGCTTTATACGTACATTATTTATACATTATATCGATATTATCACTTTAACTATTGTATTTAATGTAGCTTATCTATATGTTATCTACATTTTTGTTTGTTTTTAATTGATACAAGATAGAATAAAATTCTCGAAAAACTTTATTAAATGACGGAGGGATTCATCCATTCCAAAAAAAAAAAAAAAAAAAAAAAAAAAAAATAGATTTAAAAAACCCTTCTGACGAACATAGGTATCAATGTAGGCCAAATCAAATTTATCCAGTAAAATTTTCTTTGAATTGTACTATAAAATGGTTTCCTTTAAAATATTAATATCTTACTGCATTTGGCCTCGAGCGCTTGCAATCTTTGCTCCAGCATCCTAAATTCTCGTCGTAGTTCTACCACCTCTGTTTGTCCCGTTGTTGACAAGTTTAAAGAGAAGGAAAAAACAATAAAAGTTGAGAAAAAGAGAAATATTCCATTCATTTTTGTGGGAGATTCCTCTTTAGTCTTTATAATTACCATGTACTCAACGGAAGATAAACTAAGAAAGACTGTCGTCTAATTATGACCTACAACCAGTTTTATATCTCTTTCGAACAAGAATGAGGTCGTAGTTCAACGGTATTAATGTTTCTTATGTTCCTGTTTTGTAAGGTTTTGTAGGTAGTATATATTGGTGCATGTTGTTTAACTTATCAATCGACATTGATTCCCTGCTGAATATTGTTGCTGCTGCTCACAGATATGCCCAAGAAAATAATGTTTAATAACATTACTGTCAACGACTCTAAAATAATTCTCAGCACTTCATATTGGTATGTTTCATATAAAAAAAATATTTTTTTATTATGGGATATTGCAGTTAAATAAAACGGAATTTGCAGTACAATTCCCTTAAGAACCCCTGACAACATAAGAAGTTTAGACATCGAACAGTGATAGATCTCTGTAATTGATATTTGGAAAATAGTTCTTGTGTATTTCGAAATTCTATACCTGATTTACACAACTTCTTGAATATTTTAAGCACAATACCTCTAAGTTTTTTTTCTTCACAGTTGTTTTTTTTTTTTTTTTTTTTTTTGTTTTTTGTTTTTTTTGTGAGAAGTAAATTTAAGAGGTTGGTGGAACATTAACTGGACCTTGCATCATTGTTCGAAAAGATTTTTTTAAGGTTTTGGAGTCCAGTATCAGTTCGACAACTCCAATTCACTTCTCTTGACTGGAATGTTTTGTTTTTTTTTTAAACTGAAACATCATTTTGTTGTATTAAAATGTTTTTTTTAATTATTCAAAGTGTATTGAAAAATACTTTTTCTGTCTGTTATCAAAGGTAATTAATTTAAGAACCATTTTTACCGGCTTTGTTTTAACATAGATTACGATTCTGTGTGGAAATACCCTCAAATGTGTCAGTAAGTTGAACTTCTCATGAAATATTTTTACCCAAGTAATATTTTAACTTTTCCCAAGCACATTTCGGGTACACAAAGATTCGATGAGTTCATTTATATGAAATATGGAAATAACGAAAGTATTCAAGCTCAAAGTCCATTTACATACAAATCGGGAGCAGCGCAAACACGGACCTACAAGAATATCAGAGGAGGGATCACGTATTTTTCAGTTTGCCCGATCGTGACACGGAGCACACGGCGGATGTGACCGGTCGACAGGGATGCTTAGTCCTCAATGGCACCCGATCCCGCCTCCGATGTTTTTTGTGGTCGATGTGTTTGGTCTCCTCTAAATTTGTATTGTTTCAATGTGTCAGATTGATTACTGTTCGTTATAATCTTCATATGTCGTGTACAATATTTTAATGGAAAAATATAATTTCCGGGGAACTGTACGTGCAAGTGTCCTCTGTATAATCCGTCTTATCCCCTCATATGAAATACATTCCTAATGAGAAGCTCATATCAGGATACACAGAACTCTGAAGTGCAGTCAGACCTTGATATCTCGAACTCAATGGATTGGAGAAAAACACTTTAAGATATATGGGGGATTTGAGGTATTGAAGAAAAAAAAATCAAGGAAAAGTGATTGGGACTTTCAAATGACTTCGACATGTCTTTGTTATTCGGGATATCAGTATTCGAGATACTGAGGTTCAACTGCATCTTTTATGGTCATCGTTTTCTTGTGCAAGTGAAAAGGTACATTGTATGTTGTAAAGTCACAACATCTTTTGGTTGATATGTACATTTTTAAAATTTTATTTTTGTTTTTGTCCTAAATAAAGATCTAAATGTACTCAAGATTTGATGTGTATTGCTGGTGTTTAATATCGTTTGGATTTTTAAATTTATTTTCTATTTATTTATTTATTTTTTTTTTTTTGTGTGTATATAACACTGATCTCCATATTTGCATGAACATTCACAACTATATATTTGTGTGTATTACATCTCCAAACAAAGTTATTTTTGACTTTATATATCGTCTATCCTTTTGTCTGTTTTTATCTTTAGCTAAAGAGGTTCATTTCCAAAATCTGTTAACTTTCGGTAGATTTGAACACTTAGATTGCCTAAAGCAGATTTGTACATATTGTATTTGGAATTTTCATGTTTATTTGTTTTGCATATCATTAATAAAAGGCATATAAAAATGTCTGTGTTACATTTGCATGTATGTTATTTTATATTCATGCTTAATAATTACACTGTGCATTCAGTTAGAGATCATGTGTTGATGTATGTATTTTCCCTTTCTACATGTAAGCTTATAGCAACTAAAATCTATGGTTAATAGGGAAGTTGAAAACTTACTTGTAAGTACAGTACAACAGGGAATTGTTCGTGATCATCTAACTTTGACATTTTCAGCAATGGTTTTGGCAATACTAAAAATGAATATTGATTATTATATTTATCAAATAAAAAAAGTGTCGTCGCCCGCGTGGCGCAGTGGTTAGAGCGTCTGCTCTAGAGTCGCGAAGTAAGGAGTTGATCCTTACGTCGCGGGTTCGAATCCCACTGTGGGACGTGGAGACCGGTCCTTCGGATGAGACCGTATAAACCGAGGTCCCGTGTCGCAGTAGGTGCTGGGACGAAAAAGACCTCTCACTGCTCAATGGCCGTAAGTACCGAGTATAGGACAAAATTTGCAGCTCTCCACCGGCAAGTGGTGGCGTCTCCATATGAGTGAAAAATTCTCGAGAGGGACGTTAAACAACATACAAACAAACAAACAAAAAAGTGTCCACCAAAAGTTATCTCTCATTTGACTGAAATAACCTGTTAAAAGTATTATCTGTTATTGACATGTATGCCAAATACTGTATGTAGTAAGTTAGTAAGCCTCAATTTCTACATTCATTAATATTATTGTAAAAGTGATGGGCTATTTTATCCCCCCCCCTCCCAAAAAAAAAATCTTCATATTCATAGTGAGTTATCCAAATGAAGGATTCTCGTATACACAGAGGTACACATATTGTTCACCGGAAAAGGCAGCAGGTGTCTTTTTGAAGTAACAAGAAAGTTTGTGTATACATATTGAATTCTTTTTTACATGTTCACCTGAGACAAACTGGAAAAACGCAATGAAACTTGAGTGGCAGTTCTTATTTAATCAACAGTATCCATGTATTTAAGTTAACAGAACGTTACAATGCAATAGTCATAAGAAACCTTCGGTTTATAACTTTTCATATTAGATTTATGACAAAAATATTTTCTTGAGAGGGAAATCATCACATGCGAAAGTTTTGGATCTTTAGCAGTCATAAAATTGATTTTTCTGTATGTAAAACAAGGTGAAAAACTTGCAAATTGTTCAGTTAATTGTTTTTGAAAAAACAACTGTTCTATTACGTTTTCAACTTTGCTGCCAGTAATTGATGCACTTTTGACTTTTTGAACGTTAAAAAGGCAAATTAATAACCTTTTAGGAGAGCTCAGTTGAAAAACTTATTTAAAAGGATTTTTATTCTTAACCAAGTTTACAAATGAGACACATATTTGTTTTTAATTTTGAAAGATCAATATATGATATAGGAACATCTGAGCAACAATGATTGTGATCACGATGTTTCAGAAATACTGGAATTATTACATCTGCTTAGCTTTCGTTTTATTCAAACAAAAATGAACATATATCCGGTCTATTTTTAACTTTAATGCAAATTTGATAAATACTCAGTATCGTCATTATATTTCTCCTGACAAATGCATAATACATTTATGGTATGCCAAAAAGTTTTTTTTATTTTTTTTTTTATTTTTTTTTTTTTTTTTTTAATTTTTTGACCACTGGCTGCAATACATTGACATGCTTAGACTGCGCTTTTGTGATGTGAAGATGTGAATTGCAATGAGAATCATTAAAACATGCCTTTGAATAAATTTGTATATAACACTTTAATAGATGTTGCTTATTTTTCATTTGAAAATAACAAATTAATGTTATCTAGGATGAAAAAATATACGTGTTTATTATCTTTATTATTTTTAGCAATGATTGATACAAATAGAAAATATATGTAAGGATGAAAATGCAGTTCTATAAAATCATTTTTAAGATTGGTGCTGTTTTTTATTCCTAGCTAGAAATTTGATGCCCAGAAAAGCAACTGTAACCACCAAAATTGATCAAAGCATTTGCAGTTTGTGAATTGCGACACCACACGGTTTGACCAGCACTAAGCCTGACATTGACGTCAGTGGTGGATGAGAGATAGTCACTCCCGCCTTCGTATGTACGAATAAGTTCTGTTCCGTCTTTTACCATCTGAATGCGTATCGGATGTGACTTTACCGAGTATATGGTCATGGAGAAGTGATAAAGTCCGGAGACAGGTGCCCGAAATGTGCCATGCCGTGGATCGAAACCATTGCCGTCGTTTGTGATCACGTGATTGAATTTGATTGGTTGTTGGTAGCCAATGTTCACTGCAGATGGTGATGATAAACACGCAGTAAAACCAACTGTTTGCTGTATTAGCTTGGCTAAAGTATCTATGAGGAAGAAAAAAATTGACTTCACAAAAAAAGTACGCATTTATTACTGTACTGTCTAAAAAGCGTATTACGTGAACAATAAAGCACCTGTTTCCTTGTCAACAGCATTTAAAAAATGTTTTAACAAACTTCTATTTAAAGAACATGTACATTCACATAAACTACAGGAAATTGAACTGAACATATCATTAAGTCAAAAGAACATGACAAGTTTTAAATAGTAGATAGTCTTCTCCTTATACAAAACTTATAAAATTGCCAAAATACAAGTAGAATTGTAACAAATAAATAAGTAGTGTTAAAAACTGAAAATTCTTGATATTCTTGGATATATAGTTAGTCGATTGATAAATTCCTTCTTCTTCTGAACAGCCAAAGAGGGAGGGGGTAACTTTTAGATACGACTCTAACAATTTTGTCCTAAATGTGCATACGCATTGAATATATAGTCATGTATAACATATTCAAAAATAAAGAAAATTAAACGAAAGGAATTGGGGGGGGGGGGGTGTTGTACGTACTTAAAAAAATACCCCAAAATTAGCTGATAGTGTGAATTCCATAATTTTGTTTATTTGTTTGTTAAATGTAATTTATGAATATAACTTACGTAATTTTAAATGAAAATGTTAAAGCTAAAAAATTTTAAAAGTTCCACAGGATGCAAATCTACTATTCATTTAACTAAATTTGACTGAAAGTCTACTGAAATGTGGCTGAATGGCAGAGCTCTGTCAGTCAGTGACCTTTCCAGACCTTTCTGTGACCATTCAATTCACTGAATGGTCTAGGTTCATCCTGTGTTCAGCTTCGATCAAATAAATTAGATTTGTCAGTGTTAAAGCTAATACGATATTAAGTTTATATGTTAAGATACGTATTAATAAGTGAGAGTATATTTTATGAACTGTGTTTCTTATTATATGAAAAACTAGTGATATACATAATTTTATGATTTTGTGTATTGCGTTTTTGCAAGACCATTTATTTATTTACCCATTTATTTATATCATTATGTATTATTTGCTGTTTGATATGGAAAATATAACCTGCGCTGAACTTTTAAAACAACTTTTGTTGTTGTTTTGATATACGCAACCAAGGTTTAGACATTGAAAAAGTTCTAAAACTTATATTGGTGAATATTGATACTCATTGGCTGTAAAAATACACTGGCATTTTTGTACATTTTTACAGCCAACTCCTGCCAATATTCACCAATATGAGTTCAATAACCCTATTGCATTCAATGTTGGAAATGGTATAATTGTACCTGTCTTTTAAATTCTCACATTATTAAAATGACGAAATGAGTCATCAAACATTCAGAACAATAATCCTATCAGATTAGATTTAAACATTACTTATAAGATATATGAATGTATTTATTTAGCCCATTTTTAAATTCTGAAAAAGAAATAGTATTGACTATTGCTTACTGTTCATTGCTTCAAGCCCTTGTACTCTTTGCTCTAGCATCTTTAATTTCTGTTGGAGTTCCAAAACATCTGTTTGTCCTGATACTGACCCATTTAAAGAGTAAGTAAAAGCAAGAAATATGGACAAAAAGAGAAATGTCCTATACATGTTTGTAAGTTTCTTTTTCTTTCAGTGCATGTGCCTCACCAAACACAAACTAGACCAGACGGCTAGCCGATTCTGCTCCACAATGACGGAATGAGGTCTTTACCTGTATTTCACCTGTTTTTGTTTGTTCATTCTTCCATCGTGCAGTTTTGCTGCATTGTATCTAAGTTTTTTTTTATCAAGGTTACATTTCCTTTAATTATGGGAACTGTTGTAAAATTACATGTTTTCGTGGGGTCAAAATTTGGAGTTTGAGGAAAAATAGTTTTTTTTTTTGTGGGAAATAGATTATGTTGCTGACAAAGAAATGAGTTGTTATATACGTTGTGATGGACATAAATTCGTAGGTTTCTGTATACCACGAAAACAGCGAAGATGATCTGCTATAAACTTCGCATTTAAAAAAAAAAATACCCAACACTGATTTTCATAGACAACTACAGCGCAAAATTCAAATGAAAAAAAAGGATTTCGAAACGGTGCTTGCTTTTTCGAAGATGAATATTATGTCTGATCTTGATAAGAGGAAAATTTGACACAAAGAAAAAAAAAGGAGAAATTTATAATTACAGGATTAAATAAAATATGAGGTTTTTAGGAAAAATAGCCCCTCCCAAACGCACCCACCCCCACCCCTAAAAGCCAATTTGTAAGCACTTTAAATTTATATTTAAACTTTTCAATTCTGAGCCGATTTCTTCTTTTTCCTAGCCAATGTGCTCAAGGTGATGTGACCCATGGGTTCACTGTTTGATTTAAAAATATATTTAAATTCTCAGTATTATAATGTAGACCAGTTTCTATTATAAATTTCCTCTAAAATTAATATCTATTAGGTTAAATTGGTAGTTCGGACACTTAATGCTTCAAAACAAACTGGCTTCGAATTCATGAAATGCTATTACATATTTATTGATTTTTAAAACAAACAAGTCTGAGTTACACATGTACCTACGTCTATAAGGACTAGACTACGAAAAACATGAACCTAGGCATTCAGGCAAAGAGAAATGATGTTAGAAGGCGAAATGAAATAACACGACAAAAAAGTATGGAAAGGAAAAAGAAAGAACCAAAACTGGCTTATCTACATAAAGAATTTATTTTATAAAATTAAGACAATTCTTTGTGAACCTGCATTGTTATCAATGCAATGTTATCAACAGTAAGTTTATGGTCCGGTAGAATTTTAATCATACATGATGATAGAACTTTTTGCTTATCTGAAAGACAGGTTAGATTATACTTCGTACTCATTAATAATCAACGATAAAAATAAACTGTAGTCAAATTTACTCTATTCTCCACATAAACGATAAGACATGTATTACAAGTTATCGCTAGATAAACGTCAGAAAAGGATTTTAGCTTTTAACATGAAAGAATAGTAATTTAAAAATTAAGAAAATATGAACAAAAAAAGCCCTGGAAGTTGGTGAATTAAAGGCTATAGTGACGCCAGAAAAATTACATATGCAAAAACCACCATAATATATACATGTTTGTATATGTACCTATTTCACCCTACCTACATGTATCTCACCATGCCTGTCTAATATATACCACACCATACCTATCTCAATATACACATGTACCTATCTCACCCTATCTCTCTCACCAAATCTATTTCAAAACCTTATCTCACCACATGTATATTAGATTTATTTCACTATAAACATTTTCAAAATCCCTTCTCAACAGTCATATCTTACAATACATAACTTTCCATACTCGTTTTCTTATAACCTGTGGTTTTTATACAATCAAAAAAGTTAATCGGACATCAGCACTATGATCAACTTTTTTGCTTACAAAAGTAACAAAGGTTTCAGTAAAAGTATGATCTTTATCAACAGGTACTCTGATTAAGCCATGGCGAATACATTTTTATCGTGTTCTCAAACTCAATAACGAAAAAATAAATAAAACATCATCAACAATAACAACGTGTCGTCTGTCAAAAGATGCATCATTAATATAATTATGAAATATTCTCAGTATTAGCAAGAATTTCGAACAGTAAAATTATAAAAAAAAAAAAATGCATAAAATTAGATTTTTGAAAGTCGTAGAATGCAATCTGAATAAATGAAAAGAATTAGAAAAAAATAACTCTTTATGGAAAAAAAATATTGAACCTTTAAGTTTCTCTGTATTAGCGATGTAGCAATTAAGATAATCATATCACATGAGATATAGAACAACTATTATTGTTAAGAAAGAATATGCCCAGAAAAGCAAGAATACTGTCCCTCGTTATGCAAGTGAGTTGCGTCAGTTGTGCATGCATTTCGGCACCAGACATCCTGCCCTGCTTCCACTCTTACATTGACTTGTGCTGTACCTGCGTTGAAATCGGTCGCACCAGCCCACGAGTAAACCAGTTGAACACCATCTTTTATGATTTCAATCCAGGCAGTAGAGTGCTGCACATTCACAAAAGTTACGATAAACTGATAAATACCACTAACAGGTGCCCGAAATACTCCATGTCGTGCGTCATATGACCCCCCTTCGTTAAGAATTACACGGTCAAATATGATGGTCTGATGAGGGCCAAACACTCTAGGCGAGGAATATCCTAGACACGATGTGAACGCAATTAGTTGTCTGTTCGTTGCCCCCGTTTGCACTTGATGAAAAATAAATAATGTTAAATAATCGCACCATAAACAATAAATATTGCTTTATATTTTGTATAATAAATGAAGAATACCAGATTTATTAAGGTTCGTCATTTCTTTGCACACGCATTTAAAATCTTGCTTCAACACTTTTGATTCTCGAAAGGAAATCTAATGTATAAATCTTATGTTCACAATTTCAGAATACAAAAGTTGTCGAAGGTTGACAATTATGTTTAAATACTTCACCGTTTTATTAGAAGAGTAAAATCCTTCTATCCCAGTAAGACTCATCTCATCAGAAAGTCAATGAACCATAAGATAACCCCTGTTTATATTCAGATAAAAAATGTTTTAATGAAAGGTGCTCACATCTTGCTATTTCTGACTGCATTAATCTCAATGTAGAATTCAGTACATCCATGGCTGTCTTCATATCACTAATGTCCTTTGATAATTTCACAATGTCAGTATTCAGGTTTGGTGATGTGGAATTAATCAAATTCATAACTCCAATTAATGTAGAAAAAATCATTGGGAATGAACTCATGTTTTTATCTTCGGTTAGATCAGACAGTATTAAACCTTTCCTTATATCAACAGTATTAGAAAAGAAAAGAAAAATTTATGAGAACTATTGGCTTTCAAAAAAATCTTTTTTGATTGATAATTTTGTTCTCGTAGATCTTATTTTCTGTTTTTGGTAAACAATCTCCTTGTATAACCTTACTCAATCGCAATTCACATTTAAACATCCATCAGGTAAGACTAGCAACTCCAAAATGCGTCCATCTATCTTTTGTTTTAATATTAACAAAGTAACACGCACTTTTTTCTTTGAGAGTAAGTGTTATGTCATCATTTTACTTAGCATACTGTTTCCCTAGTCAGTATACTCTTTTGACTGTAGGAGGCCATTACTAGACTAAATGCTTATAAATAATCTGCTCCAACTTTAGACACTTACATTTAATATCGCTGAGCATTGAATAAAGACATGTTTAGATTGCGCAACGATTAGAAATTACAAGAATTGGATCTTTGATAGCATAAGTGCTGATCAAGGACTTATGTGATAAAAAGAAAGGCATCATTTACTATAAGACTTTCCCTGAACCTAAATATAATTGCTTTTTTGAACAGAAATTAACTACCCAAACCTTTAATGTCTCAAGGAAATATGGAGATAACGAACAGTAATCAAGATCAGAAGTCCATTGAAACAATACAAGTCAGAAGGAGTGCAAACAGGGACTCTGAAAAAAAAAAAAAAAACCCATCAGAGGTGGGATCAGATGTCATGGAGGAATAAGCATCCCATGTTGACCGGTCACACCTGCCGTTTGCTCTTTGACATGATCAGGTAAACGGAAAAAATCGTAGACCATTCAGTGTGAATATAATGGCCTAACAATTTGCATGAAAAAACCAGTCAACGTTCTACTTGTATTTGTCTACAAGGTCATTGTATTGACCATAGAATTAACGAGGCTGTTGATATCCTTGTATCATCAACTTTTCAATAGTGTAAATCGTTTTAGAAACTGTTCGTAGGAAGAACTTGATCTTGCGTATCTAATCAACAGGGAGATGTAAAGTCCATATGCAGTTGATAATGGTAAATTGCTACATCTGTAAGGGAAGTGGACGACAGAAAAGTTGAAGTTATCATAAAGTATTGTTGTTTGTTTGCCATTTATGTGTTTCTCTAATAAAATATCCAAATATGAAACAGATGTGGCGGACACTGTGGTGTCTATTATTTCGAGTTAAACTGATAAACTTCAAGTATTCGTTGGAATGCATACATGTACTTCTGTATTCTGCTTTCACTTCGTTTGACTTCTGTTTAAAGAAATTTTTACTCCCTTATGTGGCTAATCTTTTTGATACTGTGATAGAGTTTACGAATCTTGAGCAAAAACTCGATAAATCATTTTCATATTCTTCTCTCAAGTTGAAAAACGGGGGAAAACGATAATTTACAGTTTTAATTTTACGAAACAGCTGTGGTAATGTTTACTAACATTATCTTAAAATAAGGTTTGTTAATATGCATGTGTTTTTGGAAAAGAAAAACAAGTGTCAAGTAACGGCACGGTTAATGTAGCAATTTCTTTGTGCCCCGGATGACGTCAATATCATAACTACTGTTAAGTGCATACTTTCATGTATCAATTATAAAACAAACGTTATTTACGTGTGTGTGTGTACATCAACAATTTCTTAAGAATATTTAAATTCCTGGATATCTTTATTCCATATCAAATTTAAGAAACGTTATTTTTATTTATTTTATTTCATTTTTCGGTCTCATGCTATATTCACGCCTTACATAAAACCAGAAAAAAAGGTAAACTA